GTGAACCCGGACTGAAGTCAGATTTCACCAGTGTCATCATTATGCCAACCAGTGGGGGATCCTCTCAGAAGTGAACCAAACCCTAGCTCCTTCCCCAGATGAGATTGAGATGCATTGAGGCTTATTTCCTCTCTACACTGATCTGGCATTTGCTGCTTCCTTAGCTCCTTGTCTTAAAACAAGGATTCAAAAATGCTATGAAAAGAGGCTGGCTAGCAGAAAAGGAGACTTCACCTTACACAACAGTGTCATTCTGAAACTGCGTGAATGAAGACAAACATTTGCCATTTGGGTTGTGCATTCAATATATTGGAGGGTCTGCTATTACCTGTGAAATTCTTAGGTGGTCTGCATCGGAGCCAGGCAATCATGTCACCACTCCCCCCACCTCCCACCCCCAAACCCACAGCGTTGAGTGCACTTTGAGTATTCACAGCCCACTGTCAGCACCAGATGAGGATGGCTTGGAGGCCAGGCGGGGACTCAGGGCTGTGCATTCACACAGGTGGCAGGGGCCACGGTGGGCTAGGGCCTGCAGGGACCCACAGGTAGTCTCCAGGCCTCCCTCTCCCCTTTCAGGTATTCAGGCAGTGTAAAAACTGCTCTGCCAGGTCCTCCACATCCCCTCTTCCATCTCTTCTTCCTCTGTGCATGTGATTGTCAGGGCCTGGAATCACATCCTGAACCTGGCTGCAAGGGAGTTTGGGAATTGTAGTTTTTCTCTTTCTGACCTGTACACATCTCTATTTCAGGTCTAAATAGACAAATGCCCAATCTATATTACTGCCAGAAGAAGACAAGGCCCAGCAGTGTTTGATTCCAGTAGTGCAAAGTTATGCAGTGATGTTGAGGGGCCAGGTCTGGGACATTGCAGAATGTGGCTCAGATGCAAAAGGACTTTGTGTGAATCACCTGTGACTTCAGCTTCGGTGGCCTCGGTCTTTAGGAAGGCAGGAACTCAGTCTCCTAGACTTTCTCTCCTCTACACTTGCTATTGGAAGAATTGGCCTGGTCTCTTGGTCATGATAGTCTAGGTCAGTGGTGGCGAACCTTTTGAGCTCTGCGTGTCAGCATTTTGAAAAATCCTAACTTAACTCTGGTGCCGTGTCACATATAGAAATTTTTTGATATTTGCAACCATAGTAAAACAAAGACTTATATTTTTGATATTTATTTTATATATTTAAATGCCATTTAACAAAGAAAAATCAACCAAAAAATGAGTTCGTGTGTCACCTCTGACACGCGTGTCATAGGTTCGCCATCACTGGTCTAGGTGATGCTGGATGATAAACAGCCTATGGCTATCAGTGGCTTAACATCAAAATGACTAGGGTTCCATCTTGTTTGTGCCATCTGTTCAGTGCAGGCTGGTCAGGGATTTCAGAGTGACTCAGGGACTTGAGCTGGCCCAGGCTCCGTCTTCACACTAGCTTCCACATGCAACCCCAGGCAAACTGCATACTCATTTCTGCAAAGAAGGGGCGTGTTGGCCAAAGCAAGTCACACAGCCCCCCTCACCTCAAGGGGTAGAAAGCTGAGTTCTCCCGTTGTCAGGAGGACCCGAGAACCCACATAGGAGCGGCACTGACTACCCCAGTGGGAGGTCGAAGGGAGAGTGGTGCCCCTTCTACCCTCCCTTCCCCCTCATGCTCCAGTGGGAATAGCTGACATCCCCCCATCACCATTTTTCTTATCCTCCGGGCACTGAAAATTTCAACTTTAAAGACACTGATAACATTTTTACCTGAAAACGGCCTGTGAAACACCAGCAGACTCCAGAGACAAAGTTCAAATCCTGCTTTTCCTCAAGCACATCAGTGGTGCTGAGTCTGGCAGGATTTGGTGGGCTGGGAACGCTGTGTGTTTACTTTCGTATAAAATCCTATCTTCCTTGGTTAGAGAAGGAAGCCAGTAGGCACCAGAGGGAGATCCCAGGTTTCTTAGGTTCATCTGATGTGCCCCGTCCTTACCCCAGGCTTTCTCTGACCATCTCCTCCTAAGTAGGTTTGAAGCCATTTCTGACTCTCATGTGCCCCCCCTTTTCCTGTACCCCCACCCCAGGTTCTGTCCTGGTCCCTCCTTGTATTATCAATGTTTGTAGAAATGTTTCCCTAACTGGAAGGCTGTGAGCTCTTTGAGAGCAAGAACTTGGTCTGACCCATCTGGAATTGTCCCTACTGCACAGATGGCATTTATTAAGTATTTTTCAATGGCTCCAAGAAGGAATCTCTATCTTGACCTTAGGGCCTCTTCTGGGGGAGGCTCTCAGGGTCTTCTGAGTGAAAGAAAGGATGGATGGCTAGATGGATGAGCAAATTAAAGAGTAAAGAAATAAATATGTACAGAGACCAGCTAATGTCTCCTAGGAAAAGGAAACAAGCCTATTCTCCCCAGATAGCTCTGCCAATTCTGATGAGCTAACACACAAACACAAGCTCTTGGAACAGAGGGGACAGATGGAAGTGGGGATGTCTTAGGGCAATCTCTTGCCCCTCTGCACTCTGAGGCCCAGGCCCTGCCATGACCAGCAGTGTCCCTGAACACAACTAGACTCTGGTCAGGTCAGGAGGTAGCCCTCGGTGCCAGGAGCAGGCTTTCCTGGGGCAATGGTGCAGGGTGTGCTCCTCATATCTGACGACTTCTGTGACACCAGCTGAGTGGTGCATGGGGACGGAGCCCCAGCACAGTGGGGTCTGTAGGGATCCTTGCCTGTGAGACTGCTATGGCATGCATCTGCTTGCTATTAAATGTTTCCCAGCTGAGGCACACGCTCTCCCCAGGCCCCCAGAGCCAGCAAGAGGTCAGAAAGTCAAGGCAGCAAGAGCCAGAGGGACAGCCCCAGAGAAAGTGACCCTCAGCTGTTGAGAGGAGCCTCAAGCACCATTTCCTTTTTCTCGGGAGATGGGAAAAGTGCCAACACAGAAATCTCAGGCCTCCTAGATCTCTCCAGGGTGGAGTCTTGGAGAAGGGAGGGAAGAGAGGCAGGGCAGGAAGGTGGTGCATGTGTCCAAGTGGCTGTGGGGCGAGGGGACTGACACCCCCTTCCTACTAAAATAAAAAGACAGAAACTTCACCCCCCTCTGCTGTCTCCTTCCCATTTTCCTTCAGCTCAAAGAGAGGCACAGAGCTGACCAATGGTCTCTGTGAGAGGAGGCTAGACCTCTTAGCCTTGACTTTCCTTTGCCCTTCACTTCATGAGACAGAGGAATGTGTGGATGCAGAAGGAAGCCCAGAGGTTTGGGGGCCAACTCCACTGCAGAGTGGCAGGGAGAGGTGGTTCCACAAGGGCGGCCTAGGTAACCACTGGGCAGTCTTCAGGCCAGTGGGATGCTGTGTGTGGATGCTGCCATGGCAGCCCAATCCCCTGCCAAAGGTACTACCAGGGATCTCAGGAAAGAACCCAGCCCCTCCCCCTGGCCGCCCATGGAATGATGCTCTGTGGCCAACCGGGTACCAAAGGATACATGTGCTGTATTAACATGAACACTAATGACAAACGCACTACAGTAGTGGGCACATCATAGATACATAGAATATTCTCTCTATAGTCTGAACATAGATATAAAATAAGTTATACTCGTTTTTGTTTTCCATCACAGTGGGAGCATAGCATTCAAAGTGATTGGTTCAGTGGCCGTGAAGCAAATCAGGGGAGAGACCATGGAGGCGGGAGCAGGGCATGGAGAATGGTGGGGATGTATCGAGGACACTGCAGCTGCTGGCGGTCCTGCCAGGGACACCTCAGACCTCTGAGCTGTCCTTCTGAGAATCAGCATGAGGTCCCACATCACAGAGTCAGTGACTGTATTTGCACTGGGATGACTCAGCTCTGGTGGGAGGTGGAGCAGGGACAGGCAGCAGCAGCATCCAGCAGGCAGGCCCACTCTCCTGCTGACGCTGTGGGACTGCGGCAATTTTAGGAACATGGGGCACAGAGCCAGAAGGCACAGTTTGCTTCTGCGATGTGACAGATGGCCAGACTGATGGCCCACCAAGGGCTGCTGGCCCTTCCCGCTCGCCAGCCGGCTCTGGGAAGCGGAGGGGCCTGCAAGCTGAGCTCGCTCTCTGTGGCTGGTCGTGGGCTAGCGATGCTGGGATCTTTGAGGCAGAAGGAAGAGCGAGGCCCTGGCTCTGAATCCTTCTCCATCATGTGTGACCTCTGGGACTTTGGAAGGTCCCTTAAACTCTGAGTCTCAGACTCCTCATCTGAAAAATGGGGGCACTAATGCACACTCCCTTGGGGAGTGATGAGGGCCCCATGGGCTGATGCCTGTAAAGTGCCGAGCACAGGTCCTGACATACATGAGGGGCTGGGTAACGGTGAGTCTGGGCACCCACACGTCAGAGGTCAGGTGGAAACAATAGGAACCTCACAAAATCTGCGGAATGAAGCCACCTCCAACTGGCTTTGAGGAGAGGATGACAAGGCAGCTCTCCTGCTTTCTTTCCTGCCAGCTTTCCGACTCTTCCCTCTCCCTGGGATTCTTTGAAATAAAGTGTTGCGGGGAGGAGGCTGTGTGTGTTTCAAAGCCAGACTTGCCGAGGCAGACGGAGCCTGAGGCCGCAAGAAGGGAGTTCAGGGCCATGTCTCTTCAAGGCGGGGACCTGGGTTCAAGGCTGAGCCCTGATTCCCGGGGACGCCTCTCCTCCCCGCCCCCTCCTTGCAGCAGCCCCTTCCCACACACCTCCCGACCTTGGAGCAGATTTCATATTAGGAAGCCAAAGACAGGGAGAAAGCTCAGAAAACAAAGTGAATTGTCTAGTAAGTGAAAAGTATTTCCATCTGTCCTGAGTCCAGGGAATGTGGAGGTGGGTGGGCCATGTGGGCGGTGAACTACCTGCCTCTGCAGGAGGAGGCGGGCCTCTGGGCAGGGGAAGACGGAAAGGAGGGAGGGATGGAGACGGAGGCTTGGGAGCTGGGACCCTGTGCTTCTGCCGATGCTGAGAACTTGTGTCCAGCCTGGAAACCTGGGGATGGCTGATCCCTCTCACCTGCTGTGCGGTTCTCCAGATCTGTGCCCGTGAGTGTGTGTGTGTGTGTGTGTGTGTGTGTCCGGCTCTCCCATCTCCTGTAACACCTGCCTGCTCTGAACCTCCTCCTCCCATCACTCGGCAACTTTCCTCTTGGATGGCGGCAGGAGGTGGGCGGGCAGCTCGTTGGGCAGCTCATGCCCCTCCAGCTTGACCTTGATGAGGTGGTTGGCCAGTGCGAACTCCTCGTCATCCAGCATGCCATCCTTGTCAGTGTCCGCCAGCTTCCAGATCTTGCCCAGCACGCTGTTGGGCAGCTTGGAGCGCAACATCTCCTTTTTGGCATTGGCACCCGTGATCTTGCCGTCCACCGGTGACAGGGTATAGAAGATCTCGTCGTACATGGGCTTGTCCCTGGCCACGATCCACTCAGCATCACCGATGCCCTCCCCAGCCCCCTCCCCGTAGCCGTGCCCGAAGGGGCCATGCCGGGTGCCCTCGAACGCGCCACCCTTCACCATCGGGGCGGGCCGCTGCGACTCCTCCTGGCGCACCAGCACCATGAGCTGGGCGATGTCGTGGCTCAGCATGTCATCCACCACCTCCAGCAGCTTGCTTTTCAGGGGCTGGAATTTACTAAAGTCCTGGGCCTGCAGCTGGTCCTGGGGAGAGGGGGGAGAAAAGAAGGTGAGGCAAAAAGACAGTGGGAGGAGTGCCTTCCCCTGAGGGGGAGGCTGTCTTCCACTAATGCTGGGATGCCCACAGCCCTTTGGCCTGAAGCCAAACTGAGCCACATCAAAATCATAAAAGATATGAGAGAGGAGGAGGAAAGCAGGCACATTGTGTTGAGGCTGGGATTTTTCAGGAGAGAGTAGAACCGCTTCAGGGGCTGGGAAGGAGCGAGACGGAGCTTGGGGGTCTCTCTACTTTAATAAGGTTACACTTGAAAACACAGAGTGCTTTTACTACATGGTCTTATTCGCTCCTCTAGTGCCCTTCTGAGGGAGGGAAATCACATTTCATCCCCATTTAGGGAGGAAAGACTGAGGCCAAGGCAGCTAAACACAAATCATCATAAGAGCCCAGGGTTACCCCTAACCAGCTGTCCTCAATCAGGATGCTCCTCGGAATCACCGGGAGAGAGTTTTCACTGACTGGCTCCCCTCCCGAAGCCCCTGACACAGTAGACGCAGCGGGCACGCAGATTTTGCAACAGCTCCCCTCCTGCCTCCCCACGACACCCCCGCCACACGGTAAGAGAAACTCGCTCCACTTTGCACCTTCTTGTGATTTTTTGAAAGGTCCTGAGTCTAGAACGCCCGGCTTCCCCTGGGCCTCAGGAGTGACGAGGTGAGAGCTCTCCGCTCCCGCCCTGGCTAGGCCACGGCAACCTCAGGACCCGGGGAAGAGGCCAAGTGCACAGGGATAGGCTGGGGACAGGCACCTCGAGTTCCTGCAGAAAAATTCCACCAACACCCACAGCTACATTCCAAGAGTGAGTGTTAGCTTGGGCGTTTCTCATCTCCCTTCAAGGACAGGCTGAACCAGGGCAGTGGGGGCTGGGAGGGGAGGAGGGCAGGGGCAGACCAGCTGTTTTCCTGCCCTCAGGGCATGACCTCTCAAGGTCCCTCGGGTCTCTGTCCACAGCTAGGTGTGTTCGGTGGGTTCCCAATATCTTCCAGGGGCACAGTGGCTGTGCGCCACGCCCCCCCCATACATTCCCCCAAAGGACAGCCACTTATGTTATTGATCAGCATACCTAATAGCAGGAGATGGACTCATTTATGTTGTGAAAGAATCTCTCACATTAAAAAAGGGGTTGTATGGTCCCTTTCAAACATCAGCTTCCCAAATGCTTGATTACAGATCATTAAATTCTTAATGGAAAGAGAAACTAAAAGTTGACCATGTGCCAGGGCACAGTCGATTGAGACACAAGTAACGTTAAAGTAATTTCTGAAGTTAGTGACGGGCTTGCGGTAGGCGGTTAGAGGAATGAATGGATACATGAACAAATGTATATTTTGAATGTCTACTTTTTAAATCAGACAGGAAACTAAAAGTGCCTATTTGAGACTCTAGGGCAGGGGTCCTCAAACTACGTCCCGCGGGCCACATGCAAATACAAATATTGTATTTGTTCCCGTTTTGTTTTTTTACTTCAAAATAAGATATGTGCAGTGTGCATAGGAATTTGTTCATAGTTTTTTTTTAAACTATAGTCCGGCCCTCCAACGGTCTGAGGGACAGTGAACTGGCCCCCTGTTTAAAAAGTTTGAGGACCCCTGCTCTAGGGAGTTCTGAAACCCCAGTCTTGAGCTGAGAAACTGGTTCCCAAGCTTAAGATCGAAGTCAGCAACAAGAGCAAAGTCAATATCACTGCTACGTCTGCGGCTATTAGAGAATTTCTCTAATTCTCTGATTTTTAAAAACACCATATTTTGATATAATACAGAGCCATGAGAAGTTGCAAAAATTACATGGGTAGGTAAGTCCCTTTTGCTCATCACCCAGCTTCCCTGGTGGTAACATCTTACTTCATTTCAAGGGCGAGTCTGTGCTGGGCTCTGTACTGAGTACCTTATAAGTATTATCTCACGGATGCTCACAGCATCCATAGCTGAGTATGTCTGGGGCCTTGACTTACAGATGAACAGACAGAGGATCAGAGAGGATTCAGCTGGTATGGGGAGGTAGTTTCTTGCTTGGACTTTGGGGACAGCTCCTGGCTTTTCTATTAGCAGCCCATGTGAATACTACACTCAGAAAACTGCAGGCAGTTAACTGCGAAGATTAATTATCTTTGTATATTGCAATTTGCTAATCCATCAAAGGAGGATGAAAACGCCTTCTGCAGAGGGCTGATTTGGGGAATGACAGGAGTCACCATGTGTGATGGTCCCTGGCTCAAGAGAGGGGCCTGTAGTGGGCTCCAAAGATGGCACGCTCCTGTGCAGACTTCTTCTCCATGGCCTATGTCCCCAGCCACTCCTACGTACTTGGGGGCCTGGAGAACCTTCATTAGGTGACTTGTCCTATTTCACAGGACGTGGTGGTTGTGACTAGGGAACTGGAGCTACAGATCCCAAACATCATGGGACACCCCTGTCCTACTAGGATCACTCGGGCTCCACATTTCTCTCCAGCCCCAGATATGACACCTGCTAGGCCAGTGACAGCACCAGGAAGGACAGACCTAGGGCATCTCCTCCATACTCAGGCTGCTCACTGCCCTTTGTCCTGGAGCCCCAGACCCTGGTTACCTGCATCCTCTTCAGGTTGGGAAAGTCCCCAGGCGAGATCTGGTGCTCCCTCTCGATCCGGCCGTAAATCTCAGCCAGGTTGTTCACCAGCTCCTTCTTCTTGTTGTCCTTCCCGAACACGGAGGGCATCTCCTTCTTCAGAGAGCTGATGATGTAGGCGTGGACCTGAGAAATGGGCAGAGAGAACGCTTCTGATCAAGACCTCGATCCATTCCTTCCTTCTTGGTGGCTCGCATCCATCTCTTCCCATAAACCCCTCCTCCTCCTGCTCCTACTTCCGAAATAATTTCTGTCCACCCTCTTGCTCTCACACTTCCTGCAGCACTGAGCTGTTTTTCTAGATCTCGGGAAAGGCGAGATTGTGGGGAGGTTAAGGTCAAGGCAATAGCAGGGATGGTAATACTGGAGATGATGCTGATGAGGAAGACAACAACAATAGCTAACATTTACTGAGCACTTTTGAGGACACAGGCATGGCAATAAAGGGTTTTACATTCTTATTCTACTCTATCCTCCAACCCTTTCATTTCACAGGTGAGGAAACAGGAGACTGAGGGCCTTGCTGGGGGTGGGATCAGTTTATAAACAGTGGAGTGGAGCTCCAATCTGGCCATCTGACCCCAGGGCCTGTGATCATATCAACCCCCGTATCCTGCCCCCTGGCTGCCAGTGTGGGCATGGCTGAAGCTCATGACGCAGTAGCTACAGAACATGCTCACATGGGCAGGCAATGCTCAAGGTTGCAGGTAGCTCTTGCAGGAGACTACCTGTTTGATTCCAGTAGTCAGCTCTTGTGGCTGACCTCCCTGCCCCCAAACACTTGGTGCCACCCATGCTGCCCATCCCCCCAAGGGCGGCCTCACCTTGGCCAGCCTGGCTCTCTTGATGAGGTCATTGAGCTTGCGCAGGGCAGCGTTTCGGGGCAGACTCTGAATGTCCTTGAACAGGTCCTGCTCCTCGGCCTCAAAGAGCTTCCGGTTGTCAGGGATGAGAAGGGGGTGGGACCAGAAGGAGCCGATGTAGACCCGGATCACCTCCGGGGTGTTCACTATCTTCCCCAGGGACCACATGAGGGCCCCGTACACCCGCATCACCACCCGCATCTTGTCCTCGTGGTTCTTGAGGGCCTTGATGACTTCTGAGAACTCATCAGAGATGTCCAGCTTGTGGGCGTCAAGAACTCATCAGAGATGTCCAGCTTGTGGGCGTCAAAGAGCAGGATGATGCGGTCAACCCGCTCGGCGAACCACTCGAGGACGGCAGCAAAGTCATACCCTGCAGGCAGAGCGACAGTCAGGGGGAGGGGCATTTGGGGCAGAGGCTAGGGGTTTGGGGAGATGCACCAGGTGCAGGAGAAATAATACCATCTTGGGAGTCAGATCTGGGTTCAAATTCTGGTTCTTCCACTGTTTTCACGATTTGGCCTTGAGCAAGTTACTCTGTGTCTCCAAGTCAGTGCGTTTTCATCTATCAATGGGCATACTGATAGTACCTCATTAAGAGAACTATAAGGACTAAATACACTGAAAGCCCAGCATATAGTAGCTGCTCAATAAATGCTAATTATTATTAGCACCATTAGTCCTATTTAGTCTTTTGATTCGGGGAAACCAGCCCTCTCCATCAAGGAGCAGGGCCTAGGAAAGTGCTTTGGGCGCCAGGCTCTGCCCAGTGACCAGGCAGGGATAGTATCAGTGCCACCTAGAAACAGTCACCCAGTGACTCATCCAGGACCACCCTGCTTGTAGGAGGCAGTGGTGGGGCGCGGTACATAGCTCTCTAGCCCCAGATCCAGTGCTTGCTCCGGCTGGCAAGATGTTTACAGCTTGACTTCATTTCACACTCACAGCACCCTCTGAGGTAGGTGGGGTGAGGAGTACCATTCCCACTTTCCAGAGGAGGAAACAGGTTCAAAGATGAGGTGAGAGTTAAACAGCAGGCAAGGGGTGGGGTCAGGACTGTGCTCCCTGCACATGCCACGAGGACAGCAGTCCAGCACCTGGCCACATCCCTGCCTACCCGCTCTACCCTGCCTTGCCCTGCCCTCCCCACTGCACAGGCCCAGCCAGCAGCTCCCACAGAGCCTGGGAGGCCTGTGCATTCCCGTTCCAGGTAGGCCTGCAGCCCGCAGCCAGCACCTGCTCCCCTGCCTGCGCCGCCCCAGGGATAGCTCCTGGCTATTTCTAATCGTCCCTGTGGCATAGCCTGGTACACTGGTTGCTCCCACCTCCCAAAGGCAGTCCTTCAGAACTGTGGGCAGGAAGGGGGCAGAGGGCTCAGAAAATCAGGGCAACCTCCAGGACGGGTGTTTAACCCTTTGTATGCAATTAAATTCAAAATATTGTGGAGTGTGGAGATGGTTTCCGTTTTGGATGCATGGCAGTTAACTGGCTAATTGTGCCCTAGACTCGGCTTATGTACAGCCAGGAGTGGGAGCAGCTGAAAGGCAGGTGCCGGAGCCAATAAGGAAAAGGGCATGGGACTGGCTCTCCCATGTAGTCACTGTGTGGCCTTGGGCAAGTCTGAACCTCAGTTTTCTCAGCTATAAAATGGGGACAACAACTGACTAATGAGGGGTCAGTGGCAGAACTACGGCAACAGGATCCGACTGCAGAGGGAGGGGCTGTGCTGAGTCGGGAGGCTCCGCCCCAGTGCCTGGGGTGGACAGGACACCAGTGACAGGCCCCCTTTCCCTCACTGGTCCCAGGAATGGCTCTCAGACCCATAACAAGAGCTCTAGAGCACCTGCAGCAGCCTGAGGCTCATGACATAAGATATGGCTATGGGTGGGGGAGATTCGAGCCCCAAGAGACGGAGGGCGAAGCTGGCCTTCCTGGAATTGCTTACAGCAAGTCCGCTGGCTCCAAGAGACCTGGACTGCAGGCGCCCGGCCCAGAGACTGGGCAGCCTGCAGGGACCCGGGCCTCTCCCCACGGCCCCCAGGCTCCAGCCGACTGGCATGAGAGTATTCCTAAGTAATGCCAGGCAGGCGGAAATCAATGAGACAAACCCAATAAGCAAGGCAGCTCCTTAATGACCCACTGGCTTCCTTCGCAGTCTAAAGAGAAATTCAGGGGATAAGGCAGCACATTTGCCACGCAATCTCATTGATCCTCATAACTCTGCTGATGCCAGGGGTTAACAGGGCATGCACATCTTACAGGGAAGGGAGAGGGAACAGAGATGTTAAGGGGCTGGCCCAAGCTCACACAGCCAGGTGGTGGCAAACTTGGGACTAGAAACCAGATCCTGGACTCTTGTCCACCTTCCCTTCTTGCTCAGAGCCATGTGCCAGGCTGAGCCCAGAGGGCTGAGCCCTCAGAACAGGCAGTTACTTATGGTCCTGCTCTGCCTCCCCCCAAATCTCTTTCAAGATTTAAAATAAAATAAAATAATAACAAGGCATCGATTTCCAAAAAGTGGGAAGAATTGAGATGACTACGGGAAACAAATGCCACACTGTATACCTTCCAGAAGAAGCCTGCGGGCTGTCAGCAAGCCCTTTGGAAGGCATCGGGACTCTCCTGCTGCCCCAGTGAGGCCCAGGAGGCCCCCAAGTGCCGGCCCTGCTCCAGCAAGGGTGCCAGGGACGAGCCAGGGCTGTGAGAGTCAGCCCAGACCCTCCAACGTTCCCCAGGGGATGAGTCTGCCTTCATGCCTACTCCCCACCTCCATGAAAATGGGCTGAGAAGCCACTAGACTGGGAGTCAGGAGGCCGGAGTTCCCATTGCAGTGTTGAGACCTGGGCAAGGGGTTCACCTGCTATAGAGTTGCTGAGCTCACCTGTGCAGGAAGGGGCTTACTGAGCGGGATGTGAGCTCCATGTCCCGGGGGGTGCTTTTGCAGGGTGGGGCCGGTGGGGACTTCTAGCTGAGCAGCCGGGAAATGCGGTTCCCCAGTGAGAGGACACTCAGGCTTCCGGGACCCACCCACTTCTGTTGCTTCCTTGCTCCTTCCCAGTAATGAGTCTGGGCCGGGCACATCCTGTCACTTCCCGGAATGCCTCCCTGCCCTTCTGCTGCCCACCTAGTGCATCTCCATCCGGAGACAACTGCTGCGCGTGACCTCCCAGGCCCAGGTTCTGGGGTGCCCCCTGCGTTCTCCCACCCCGCAAGGCACCTACCCCAGGCCTGGGCAATGAGGCCACACCCTGAGCAAGGACCACACTTTGTCCAGCTCTGGCCTGGGGTCTGAGTCCTCCTCCGTGAAGCCTGAGGCCTGGGGAGCCCTTGGGAGCAGCTCACTTTCCACATGGGGCCCAATGGAGGCTCTGCCAATGTCACAAGGGTGCCTTTTTCTGGGAGACACAGCCCTGTGCCAGGCACGAGGCTTGGACGCAGCAGAATGTGGCCTGGATTTCAGGCTCCCCACCCCCCTGAGCAGGGTTGGAGGTTCTGCCCTGCCCTGGGCTGGCTGAAGGGAGGGAAGAAGTGCCTATCTGCCCTGTGACCAAACCCGGAGCCCTGAGGGCCCCAGACCACAGCCAGATAAAGTGCGTTTGGTTCTATGTACACACTTGGGGGTGTGTGTGTGCACATGTGTATATGAGTGTGGGTGTTTATGTGTGGATGTGTATATGAGTGTGGGTGTATATGAGTGTGGGTGTATGTGTGGATGTGTATATGAGTGTGGGTGTATATGAGTGTGGGTATATGAGTGTGGGTGTATGTGTGTGGATGTGTGTATATGACTGTGGGTGTATATTTGTGTGGGTGTATATGAGTGTGGGTGTTTATGTGTGTGGGTGCACATGAGTGTGGATGTGTATATGAGTGTGGGTATATATGTGTATGGATGGATGTATGAGTGTGGGTATATATGAGTGTGGGTGTATATGAGTGTGGATGTATATGTGTGTGGGTGTGTGTATATGAGTGTGGATGTATATGTGTATGGATGTATGTATGAGTGTGGGTGTATATGAGTGTAGATGTATATGTGTGTGGATGTGTGTATATGAGTGTGGATGTATATGTGTATGGATGTATGTATGAGTGTGGGTGTATATGAGTGTAGATGTATACGTGTGTGGATGTGTGTATATGAGTGTGGATGTATATGTGTATGGATGTATGTATGAGTGTGGGTGTATATGAGTGTGGCTGTATATGTGTATGGATATAGGTATGAGTGTGAGTATATATGAGTGTGGGAGTATATGAGTGTGGATGTACATGTGTGTGGATGTGTGTATATGAGCGTGCATGTTTATGTGTGTAGGTATAAGCTGGAGCCTCCAGCTTCTACGGCTCTGTGAGGAAGGAGGAGGAGGGACTCTGCATACTGGAAACCCTCCTCATTTGGGGTCCCCTGACATCTGGGAGTGTGTGATCCTCCCTCCCCCGATTTCCTGGTCTCCTTGGAGAGCTGAGTCAGCACTGCCCGGGCTGACGATGCAGTGCTGCGGCCCAGCGCCCAGCTCCGGTTTCCACCACAGGCTGCTTTGCTAGCAGCTGCACTTGTAGTCTGGACACGGGAGGGCAGCGAACAAACTGGCCTGGGCAGCACTCATGGGGCATCACTTCTCCCAGAGGTGGGGCTTAGTCGCGTGAGATGGGAGAGGATAGGAAGATGGCCAAGCAGCCAATCTGCACAGGGCAGCCCCTGAGGCCTGAAGATGAAGGCAGGAGAGAAGGCAGAGGGGTAGAGGAAGCATGGAATGGGACGGGAGCTGAGGAAGGCAGGGATCCCCGAAGCAGGGCGGCCACACACAGCTGCACAGGCTGTGCACCCACAGCTGCAGGGAGGCCATGCACACAGATGACCCTGGGGCTGCGGAGCGGTGGCCCTGGCTGGCAGGTCGGGGGAAAGGAGGGAGCGCTCTGAGATCCAGACCCAGAGCTGATGACCATTGTCTATGACCATCCGTGGACCTCACAAGGTCATACGATGGGTCGTTACTCCTCGTTACACATGGGAACAGTGAGACCCAGGGGGACATGTGAGCTGTTGAGAGCCGCGCAGGTCCTAAACCCCCATCTCTGAACTTGAGTCCAGCCTCCTTGGAAACCTCCAGACCCACCTGTCAGGCGGCACTGGCCCTGCAGGTGCAGGCCCACCCACCTTTAGGGATTGAAGTCTGGCTCTCCGGAGCCACCTGGAGGAGACAGGCTGCCCATGGGAATCAGTGCAGCCTGGGGGAGCGGGTGCTGGCCCTGGCAGGCCGTGACCAGGCAGACGGGGGTCCGAGCCTCCTGCTGCAGCATGGGCAGCCTGCAGAACACACCTGTCTGTCTGTCTGGGTCACAGAGCACAGGGGCCGAGGGAAGTGGACAGCCAGCTAAGGGTTTCAGGGCGAGGCGAGAGTTCCAGCCGCTGCCCAGGCCAAAGCCATTCCTTCCCGGATGCTGACTGCCGAGTGCTGATTTGGCTCTAGCCCAGCTCCCAGCTCCGCTATCGGAAGGGTGTGCCTCGTCTGCTTTTCTTGCCAGACATACAGGGCACAGAGAGGGTAGGGTGTCACCCGGGGCACACAGCACGCTGTGGCTGGGGAGGCTGGGGGTGAGGAGCCGGGAGCAGTTGTTTTTAGCTTTGAACAGCATCGGTCTAGCTGTAAAAGGCAGTGATGATGATGGTGAGGATCTCTAACACCTCCTGCTAACTGGGCACTGCTATGTGCCAGGCAGAAGGCTCTTAATCTGTATTATTTCTTTTAATCCTCAAACAACCTATCCGGTAGATAGAATTATTTCTCCCTACTTTACAGCTGAACCAACCAGAGCAAACTGACCTGCCCCAGTTCACGCCGCCAGGAGGTGGCAGAGGCAGGCTTGGAACCCTGGCAGTCTGGCTCGAGTTCTAGCTCCTAACCACCCTGGGGGCGGCCTCCCTCATGAGCGATTACCCCCTTTCTGTCTGGAGTGAGCAGTTTTCAAAGTGCTCTCACATCCCAGCTCCCGTTCCAGGGCCCAGAGCATGCTGTCCTCAGGCTGTGGAGGTGAAGTTCTCTGCCTCGCCCGCCGGCCCTGCAGGGCTGCAAGCTCCGGGGCGGAGACTGCAGGGACTTCAGAAGCAACCAGGGTCCGGCCCGCGTTAGGTGTCGCTTGGAGCATGAATAACCTCGATGAGGGAGGAAAGGCAGATACTGATGTCTCCCTTTTACAGAGGAGAAGACAGAAGCCAGCTATCTCCTGAGCCACAGTAGACCCACCCTTGTCCCCTGGCCACTGCCTCGGACCATCCCATACAGCACACAGGGCAGCACTGGCTCATCAGGGGACAGCAAGGCCCTGGAGGCCTCGCTCCTGGTATGGAAGCGAGAGAACATACCAGGAAGAACAGAGCACAGAGCCAGCCGACCCTACCTCGGCTGATCCTCTGCTTTTCCCCAGAGAGGATGCCTGGCGTGTCGATGATGCTGATGCTCTCCAGCACGGGGTTGGGCAGCTGGGCACACACGAACCTGCAAGGTCGACAGGAGTCCGAGGTGAGCCACTGTCCTCTCATTGCCTCACACACCCTTGTTTCAGCCGCATGCCCACCTTCCCTGCCCAGGGGCAGAGGTTCAGAAACCTGGCTGCCTTCCCATGCAGACGCCCAGCTCCAGGTCAGACTTAGCCCCAATGCTGGGCCCAAGACCTGTATGCTGAGGAAGCTCCCGGGGGATCCTGGGCAGCCAGGGTCCTACACTGTGACCCCTGCTGTCAGGGACACCAAGATGTCCAGAACTTGAGCCCTGCTCCCAGGGAACCCAGTCTGGTGAGGAGAGGAGGCATGCACGTGGCCAACCCGAGGGAGGCCAAGCGAAGGGTTGGGGAGATTCAAGGTGGAGAGATGGAGTCCAGGACAGCTTCCTGGAGGAGGCGGCACTGGAACGGGCCTTGATGAAGGGGTCACACCACCCAGAAACATTTGTTTAGGCCTCAAAGGGCTATCCAAATATCAAACTTTGCTATTAGGATAGCAGTCAAGCCTTATTCAAGGAAACATTTATAGTGTTACATCCTGGAGTCTCAACATACACGCTGGTAAACCTAACTTAGATCCTTCTTACTTCAGCCTTCTCTCTCATATGCCATTTTTGGTGGAAGCTAAAAAGGTGTCTTACTCTCCCACGTATATTATGTGAAATGGCAGAGATGCAGGACACATGGGGAGAAAAGGGGGGGGAGGGCTTCACAGAGGAGGCCGAACTTGAACTAAGACTTCAAAAGATAATCAGCATTTGCCAGGCAGATAAGAGTGCAGGCAGGAAGCGTGTGTGTGTGTGTGTGTGTGTGTGTGTGTGTGTGTGTGTGTATCAGTGGATGGGTAGTAGAGAGAAGACAGTACTCCAGACTGAGATAAGGGGTAACAGTGAAAGAGCAGTGTTATGGGTTGAATTTTGTCCCCCAAGGAGATCTGTTGAAGTCCTACCCCCCAGGGGGTCTAGGATGTGGCCTTATTTGGAATAGGGTCTCTGTAGATGTAATTAGTTAAGTGAGATCATATTAGAGTAGCGTAGGCCCCTAATCCAATAAAACTGGTGTCTTCTTTAAAATTAAGTTAGGGTAACACCGGTTAATAACATTATGTAAATCTCAGGTGTAAAATTCTATAAAACAACACTCTATAAGATAAGAGAACACATGTGAAGACAGACATGCACAGAGGGAAGACGCAGAGAACTAACAAGAACACCTGGGCAACCAGGAGAGGGAAGAAGAAAGAGAGGATGCGCCTCTAGAATCTTCTGAGGGAGCATGGCCCTGCCATACCTTGGTTTCAGCTCTGGCCTCCAGAACTATGAGATAACACATTTCTGTTGCTTTAAGGCACCGAGTAGTAGCCCCAGGTAACTAATAGAAGTAGGTGCAAACGCAGCATAGAAATGAGAGAGATGTGCACCATTCCTGTGGGTACACATCACTGAGGCGAGGACAGGAAGGCTGGAGTGGCCAGAGATGAAGCTAGACAGGGAGGAGGCAGGAGGCCAGATCACAAAGGGCCTTACATTAAAATTTTGGATTTTATACTGAAGGCAGTAGAAACCCATTGGAATGCTTTAAGCCAAAGAATGACATGATCAGATATGATGGTTGTCAGCATGTCCAGTTCAGTTCCACAAATATTTATGGAGTGCCTGCTACATGCCTGGCACTATCCCAGATAAGGGGGGTAGAACAGTAAGTGACACAGCCCCTGTCCTGTCGAAGCCCATGTTGTCCATTACACTGGAGACCCAGCCACATTCTGCTCCTGGGGTTCTATGGCACACCCCAGTGTTCTACAATACATCCCCCATCTTGCTGAAGCTAGTTTGAGCTGGGTTTCTGTCATTTGGTATTTGGGGCCAGGATTGTGGCTGAGGCCAAACCCAGGCCAAGCATATGGAGTAAGAAGGGCAGGGGGTGATGATGGGCCAACTAAGGGTGACAGCAAGTCATCAGGGCCAGAGAAAAAGGGGACACAGAGGAGACTGGATGTAGAGAGGGCCTGGCCAGGGAGGCAGGAGGAGAGGGGATGGTGGTCAAGAGAGACAAATACCAAAGAGGTAATGTAAGGGTGGAAAGAGGCCCTGCTTATGATCACTAAGAAGTCACGGTGACCTTCACACAAGCAGCTGTGGTAGGGTGAAGCTACATTCCACAGGCTGGGGGACAGGAAGACACGAGGAGATGAAGCCAAGAAACTTGGCTGTGAGGAGAGAGAGAGAGAGAGAGAGAGAGAGAGAGAGAGAGAGAGAGAGAGAGCTGCTGTAGGGTTTTCAAGAGGAGATTTTTGTGTGAAGGGAAGGAGCCAAGGCAGGGTGAAGTGGTCAGAAGGAGAAGCAGTCACTGATGGGGAGGGTCCCTGAGAAGATGTCCCGTAGCCCAGGACATGATGTGGCAGGAGTTAGACCTTGTGAGGACAAGAGAAGCCACAGCTCTCTACGCCCCGGGTGGAGGAAGTGAGGACAAAGGCAGATGAACTTGTTTATAGGTAGACTGAACAAACAATGAGATGGATCTGGGTACACACCACTGGTTCCCATTCTCTCTAGAAGGGAAGGGAGGCCAAATGCTATAAGAAGGAGGTGAGGTGATTGGAGAAGGGCGGGAATTTGACGAGGGACACGGTGTAGGCTTCTGAAGGCTGGCTGAGGGGCACAGAGATGGGCACCCGAGGTCTGGGGTGCAGCCTCCTGTGAGTAGCTGCAGTAAGCTGCCCCTCTCTCCTGTTGCCCTTGCCATGGACATGCCTGGCAGATCCCCAGCCCATGGTCAGAAAAGCACGAAGCTTCTCCAGTTCTGGTCACAGGGCTCCTGCACTAAGCCACATTCTTTCATTCCCCTCTGGGTGGAATGTTGTTTGCCTAGAATGTTGGGTTGTTGTCGTTTTTACACTTTCAGTGTCACCTCACTCATCTTTGATCACCCATGTCAAATGCCAACTTCCCACAAGACCATCTCAGTGCTCTTGCCTCGAAGGAGGGTATTAGTATTATCCTATTTCACAGACGAGAAAAGTGAGACACAGAGAAGTTAGGTAATTTGTCTGAGATCCATGGTGCTACTTGGTAGGATTTGAACCCAGGTCTGTCTGAAGCCAAAGCCTATATAGCCTTTCCCTCTCCTCTAAATACCTCCAATTAGGGAAAGTAGTTTAAAAATTTCCAGTGCAATACTCATGCAAACATGTGGTGTGGGTTTATAGAAAAAGTGCAATCAGGGGATCAGGTTAAGCAGAAACAGGAAGACCTGGATCAGCCTACCAAGCATTCCCTAGAGCTTTTTCACTCAAATCATCACAACAACTCTGGTGTCTGTAGGCTTTTACTTGTGACCTGTCCAAGGCCACACAATGAGGTTAGGAGGAAAGTCAGTGCTCAAACTCAGGACTTCCACCTTAAGTCCAGGGTTCGTTCCACCAAGGGAAAACAATGTCCAGGAACAGAGAAAAACCTTCCTCTGCCTCCTTCCACTTGGATGCACATCCCTTTGGCAGCGCAGGCAAAGGCTGGGAGTGCTCTCTGCTCTTACTGGCAGGAGGTGCATATACGGGGCGGGTGTGTGTGTGTGTGTGTGTGTGTGATTCACCTTGCGGTACCCTTCCCTGCTCCTTGACCAGGAGGAGGCAGCCTAACGTTTGCAGCTCCCACATCCCTACTCTATAGTGACTGGCTCAGTTACATTCTGAGCAAGGAAGGGACAATCAAGAGAGCCTTTAGGTATGGGAAAGGCACCACGCCTCCCAAGACCCGGCCCTGTGCTTTCCCTTCTCATACTCGAAGAAGAAGAAAAGTCAGTGTGTATATCCCCTCTGCACTCACCTGTTCAAGAAGGCATTGCCAAAGGCGTTGAGTTTCCGGAAGGGTTTCTTAGGATCCACCACCAGAGCGTTCCCAGGGATGACCCCCTCCACCTCACCCTGCATCACAGCAATGAAGGAGTCGGTGGTCGGCTCGGGCCCAATCCTCATGCCTGGAAAATCCTGTTCCAGCAGGTACCTGGCAGAGGGAGCACAGTCATAAAGCAGGGATGCTGCTGGTAGATCAACACTGAGCATCTACCACAAGGCAGGACAGAAGGGCAAGGTCCAGAGCCACGAGATTTCTCGGCAGGGAGAGAGGACTGCAAGGCAGGGTTTCAAAGACATGGTGGAGGAGGTGGGATTACCACTGAACTTAAAATACCAAATCTGTTCTTCTTGGTTCTTACCTTTTCCTCTCCCCGAGTCAGTAGGGAAAAAATGCAAGGTTTGGGCTCGGGGCTGGAGCATGGGCGGACAGTGATTGCTGCACAGATTAATGCAGACTTTACAACTGAAGGTAACCTGCTGGCAGATCTGCATAAAGACTTGGTTAGAATTAGAGCATCCATGGACTCTGCCAGGTTTCCACGGGTCATTATTTATTTATCTGGTTAGTCAGTCCTTTAATAGAAAACTAGCTCATACATGAGACGAAAATACAGCCAGTGTGCCTGACCCGCGTGGCTCAGCGGTTGAGCATCGACCTATGAACCAGGAGGTCGTTGTTCAATTCCTGGTTCAGGGCACATGCCCAGGTTTCGGGCTGGATCCCCGGTAGGGGGCGTGCAGGAGGCAGCCGATCAATGACTCTCTCTCATCATTGATGTTTCTATCTCTCTCTCCCTCTCCTTTCCTCTCTGAAATCAGTAAAAATAAAAAAATACAGCCAGTGTGACAGCTACATTATGAAAAGTGGGTCTCCATTCCCTCTAGACTTTTGGTCCACTCTCTAGGTGCCAGGTCCCTTTCTTTGCTCTTCTCCTGGCCAGAGCAGTGACAGCCCAAGGCCATGCCCCTCTAAACAGCCCCCTTTAGAAGTCAAAAGCAAAGGCACATGATGAGCCAGAGAACAAAGAGAACAGCTCCTAAAGACAACTGAGTCTTTTAGAAGAAGCTCAGAACAGCTTTGGGCCCAAATAGCATGAGGCTGGATTCAGGGGAGGAGCCCAGAACTGCCTCCGGTTGGGACTGACCAGAGGAGAGTCCCAGGGGCATCTTCCAAGACCATGATGGACGAGGAGCTAAGGGTGTACTGACCAACAAACACAGACTCTGGGGGAGCCCTCACTGTGCTGAGAACCTCCTGAACTTCGAGGGCCCCCAGGAGAAGAGAGGTCGAATCAGAGGCTGTTAGTTGGGAGGGGAACATGGAGACCTCCTGGACCAGTGGTCCTCACCCCGGCTTCACAGCTGAGCTACCTTGGAGCTCTAGCTAAGGTGCCTGGTCCCCACCCCCGGAGGTTCTGACCCATTCACTCAGAGGCGGGGCGCTTTTTTAGGAGCTCCCCAAGTGACCCAAATGTGCAGCTGGGGTTGACAGCACTCCCATTTTACTGATAAGACCTCTGACACTCCATAGCATTTCCACATGCCAGGCAGCACACCAATCATTTTGGGAACATTATCTCCTTTGGGTCTCACAGCAGCCCTCTAGGTAGGTATTGAAGAAATGGAGGCCTGGGAGGGGTATGTGACTTTCTCCAAGTTAAATAGCTAATAGTAAGAGCTGAAACCCAGACCGAAATCAATCTAACACCAAATCCTTTGCTCTTCAACCGCCTTCTACCCTGAGGAAGTCACCGCAGAGAGAGCTGATCCAGGCCCCACCGAAGGTCAGGCAGAGCTGGGACCAGAGGCCATGTCTCCAGGGCCCAAGTGCTCCGCCCATCCCATGCCTCCCCTAGGTGGGCCTGCAGCAGTGGTCCTGCTCTGCTCACAGGCTGGTGGCCAGGGAGACGCGCTGGGGTTTCTTCTGGCTCATGGGTCCCCTGCCCGTGCCTCCGAGAAGGGTTCAGAGCTGTTACATGACTCTGTGGTTCAGGCAGTTTAAGTAGGTTGCTATGGGTCCTCCCCAGGGAGCCAACAGAGAAGCTGGTGCCCAGAAGGCTCCCCTTCCACCTGCTGCCGGCACACACTGGAGGGTTTAGGTGGCCTGGGGAAGCCCTTCGTCTCCCTCCAGCATCCCAGCCCGACAGTCTGGGTGTGAAGCAGGATTTCCTCCATCAGAGGACCATTGTGAAATCTGGCACTGCGGCTATGAATGAGGAGACTTCCAACAGCTGCACACTGGGCGAGCGCTTCCTGCTTTCTCAATGTGCCTCCTCCTCCAGGCCCTCACAGGAGAGGCAGGGAATCTCAGCAGCCCGGGGCCAGCAGGCCTGGTTTTTGAACCAGGAGGGACATGCCTTTCAGAAGGCACTGGGCCTCTATGAACCTCAGTTCCTCCCTCTATAACACGGGAGGTAATAGTTCCAATGTATCAAGCACCTGGGATGTGCCAAGCACTGTTCTAGATTTTCTATGGATTATCTCATTTCATCTTTACATCTACTCTGAGGTGAGTACTATGACCCTCATGGTCAAATAGGCCTAATAAGAAAGCCCACCTCATAGGGTGTTCGGAGGGTTAAACTAGTTACAGTCCTTCAGCACTTAACCCAGTGCCTGGCACCCAGATTTATCATTCCATTTTAAAGAGCGGGAGACAGAGGTTAGACAATTTGCCTCAGGTCATGCCATCGGTAAATAGCTGAGCTCGGATTTGAACCTGTCACTTGGATTTGAGAATTTATGTTCCTAACCACTACCGTTACTATCTCCTTTCCTGCCGTAGGTCTCCTCTTGACCAGGAAATGCAAAAAGGCTGAGCCCCACATGGGACTAGAATGAGGAATGGGACAAGAAGGCCACGAAGGAATATGGCTTGGCAGGAGGCCGTCCAGGGCCCAGGCCATGGGAGAAAGGTAGGCTCTGGGTCCCACAAACCCAGCAATGCACTCACCTCCATACACGCCTGCCCTAGGGGTCCTCAGCGAGGCCTCAATGAGTGACGCGTGGCATGCAAAAGCTGTTGCTATCGAGTGACCAGAGCAGGCCCTAGGCCCACTGGCTCTCAAAGGACATTCTTGGGACTTAAAAATAGTAAAGCCAGATTTCCCTGGGAAGACGTTTCATGAGAACCAACACCATGCCAGGGGAACCCCATCCATTCTGTCTGTGTGCCAGGAGCCCCTGCCCCGTGAGCACGTGGGTGAGAAGCCCTACGCGGAGCCCTGTAGTCCGGTGGCAAGTGTGAGTTCTGAGGCAGGAGGGGCTGGTGGGTGACCAAAGGCTCGAGGGAAAGCTGACACAGACAGAAGTGGGAAGAAGCAATTCTGAGGCAGCTTTGAGAACAGTCAGACTGAACAGGGCCGAATGGCAGTGATGGAGTTTCCTGCTGACCCGGGCGGCTCAGATTCCATCCCTGAGAGACGTGCTGTGAGATCAGATGATCAAAGGGTGACTTCCCAGCACGACAGGGCCACTTCCCGGGATGAGCCGGAGCCCCAGCCTGAGTCTGTCTGAGCCAAAGACAGGAGGCTGGGCCGCCTGTCCTGCCCTTGTGGCTAAACCCACATGAGCCCAAACTTGCTGACCACACAAGGGCCTGGAGGAACACAGAGTCCAGAAAAGTCACCAGCACATCCAGGGACACAGTGGGGCCGGGCAGAGAACCGGAGCCGGGTAAATTCTCAGGAACATTTGGGTATGGCTTGCAGCACCGAGTGCCCCCTTCACAAAGCTTCCACTGTGTCCGGAAAGGACAACCTATTGAGGGATCTCATCACTGCTGCTCTGTGGGAAGTGATACAAATCGCCTCTGTTGCCAGGCGCAACCATTCCCACGGCAGCAGACACAAAGCCAAGTGAATTCAAGCCTGGGTGGGAACGGCTGAGACCAGGACGTGCAGGGGTAAGGAGGGGCTGCTGAGTGGCAGGTGCTCTTCTGGGACCTTTACCCAAATTATTCCACTGAATCGACCCTACAAGCACTGTGGGATGGCAGCATTATTTCAGTTTTGCAGTGGAGTCAATTGAGATATAGGTTGCCCAAGTTCATGGCCAAATGAAAATATTTAGCAATGGTAAGAGCTAAGATGGTGCGCTGTGCCCTCCGCCCCCCCCCCCATGCCATCCCCCGCCATCGAATGAAAAACAAGTAAATACTAAAACCATAAAATAGGTGTATGGAAGTCCTACACAAAGCTGATTTTTTCTATGAGAACCACTTTTCTGTATGTTTTGACTCAGTAAATTATTTCATGGCATTTTCCTCATTTGTGTGTGTGTGTGTGTGTGTGTGTGTGTGTGTCCTGCTTGCCTGGCACTCTAAGCATGCGGTCTGCTTTAGTGGTGACCTAAGCACCCAGGGAGAGGCATGGAGCCAAGACTCTTAACGCAGTCTGCTTCCAAAGTACCCCTCTCCAGAGCAGTGGGCCAGACCTCGGCTGGGCTGCCGCTGGGCCGGTGCCACGGAGGGAACAGAGGGGCGGGCTCCGCAAACATGCTGCCGTGGGCTGGGCCCTCTGCCTCGGCTCAGCCCAGAAGGCACCTTCCTGGGTGGCTCCTCCATCACAGATAGGACCTTGGACATATCACCCAACAGCCCAGTGGCTGTTTCCCTGGTTTATAAAAAAGGAGATAATCCTTGGTTTCTAACTAGCCAAAGGGACGGCTTGAAGGTTTTGATATGACACCCATGAGTTTGGGAAAAACAAAGGCTACACCAGACATTTGCTCACATTGGAAGAGACAATAATTAGAGGAAACAAACACCTCATTGTTGCCTGTAAGTACTCAGTGCATTTCTAGAGTCTACAAATCCAGTCCCGATGCCGCCTCAGTGAGGCCTTAACTGATTCATGCCGTCATCCCAACCCTGACTTACACTCTTCCCAGAAAATCACATAGCTGTTAATTTGCATATCTTTAGTAGATTCTGAAGGCACATATCACTTTCTGCCTTGTACCATAGGTATTCGTGTTATAGATCTGAATCTTTGGTCGTCTTACCTATGGACACAGACAATAGGGTGGTGAAGGCCTGGGATGGGGTGGGAACCAGGTGGAGGGGGCAATGGGGGGAGAAAGGGGGAACATCTATAATACTCTCAAACATTTTAAAGATTTTTTAAAAAATTAAAACGAAAAATAAAA